TTCTCCATCCTTAGCTCTTCGACATGAAGAAGTTCCAGTCGAATGTGAATCGCGAATTGCGACGCGCCTATCCGGATCGCCGGCGTTTGGAGACGCAGTGCCTCTCCTCGGTGGCGTTTGTCAAGTCGGAGAACGACATCTTGGAGTGCCCCATCTGGGTGCTCATCGTCAATGTGGTGGCCATGGATATGCTGAAGAGCAAGCTGCCGCCAGGTGAGTGAAAAACAGCAATCCTTTCAAGACTTTTCTTGATATCATTCCCTATATACCTGATTATATTTCTAAATAATTTGTTATTACATTTTCTCCCCACCCAGTGCAACGTCCCATTGTGGACATCAAGAACCGCCCGCGCATTCCGATTCCCGACGAGGATCCCTACAGTGTGGCGGGCAATGGTAGTGGAGGAAGCTCTGGCAGCTCTGGATTCGGCAGTGGCCACCAGGCGCAGCTGCATCCACAGCAACAGCAGCAACTGGGCAAGCACCTCAATGGCAACGGAGGAGGACATGTGGCCGCCACCCGGGAACAGCTGCTGCTCCAGACGCAACAATTGGCCCACAAGCGCAGCGAGAAACCTCCAAAGCTACCACCCAGGGATAATATCTATTCGCACGATCTGATTCCAAAGGTAAGAGAACAGGTAACCATCTTATCTAATGTATTATACCACACACTACTAAATATTTTATATTATTTAAAATCCATTGAAAATCTAAGATCATACAGATTTTATAAAGTTTAAAAAGATAAAACGAAAATGGTATGCCAATGTGGTTTCTTAATCTCCCCTAGATGAAAATGAGACCAGCAAATGCAGTTGGAAATAGAATACATTATTATATTACCAAGTAAGGACTTAATAACCAGTTGACCCCGCGACATATCACTTAAACCTTTAAGCACGTAGTATATATTTTAATGGCACACTAAGGAGCAACCCAAGTGTGGGAGATTGCCCAAGTGCGGCTCATTTGCTGGCAAGGTGTCGGAACAAATTTGGCAGCGCCAAAACACGAGTAAGCCAAGCCACGCCGGCGCAGTAGAAGTGTGGCAACCTGTCGAGTCGAGTCGCTGGGTTGAGTTACATTTGTGGGCTATGTGAAGCCAGTTGGCTAGTTAGTTTGACTGCCCAAGCTTGGTCACATGCGCAATGCGGCCACTTGCAAAATTGGAAAAAAAAAATATGGGTCTCCCTCTCGAAACCCCATTGCTTGCGAAGATTTCGCCGTTGAGCCTCACTGGGCAATCGGCATTGCATTGCATTCAATAATATTCGAATTTCAGCAGCGACTGGCCGCAAATAACTGCAAACGAATCGCGTGTAATTAATATGCGCGGAATGCCGCTGAATTGCTATAGCTCTGCAGCTCGATTGCCAATTGGGCCCAACGACCGAGTCAGTGCCTCTTGGTTTGGAGAACTGGGGGACCGCCATGCCGAACTGCCAACTGCCAGTTGCCATTTGCCAGTGGAAAATTATGATCGAAAATCCCATCACCCGACTGCTTTCCTTCTAATTTCGCCTCTCATGTCTCATATATTTTCAGCCGGACTACGATGACATTGATCTGGAGACTCGCATCAAACTTTCGCGTGGAAAATCGGACAAGGGCAAAGATAACAAAAAATATGGTAAGACCAAAATTTAAGCCACGGTGTCTCGCAAATCTCTTTGACCTAGATACTTACTAAGCACCTAATTTATGGGATGGGACACCGCTATCTTTATAGAACACTTTCAAGTCACCGACTTGTGTTAGAACATTTTTAGAGTGAGAAGAAGAATGTTGTTGATATGTATAGAATTAGGGTTTATACGCCCACTTTTGAGAGTATACGGAAAGATACTTCTTAAGCTTAATAACAAAAACCAGATGTATTACTTTTATTTAAAGAAAAAAAACTTTAAATTAAATAAGCGGTCGGCAGCCGCCCATTAAGCGGGCTTAGGGAATAGATCTGTTTGATCTCTGCCGCAACTCGTACAGTGTACAAATTTGTATTTCTTTAAAATTACTTATTTATAACTATTATATTAGATAAATAGATGGTTGAAATGCTCCCAAAACCCCACGATAACCATCATTTGCTTTCCACAGATGATCCCTACTATTGCGGCCTGCGTGCCCGAGTTCCGAACTTTGTGAAGTCCGGCAAGCCGGTGGCCAAGGACCAGCGGGATGGCAATGCGAACAACATCGGCAACGGCGGCATCAGCACGCTAAGCCAGAAGAAGACCTCGATGATCCACAACCACCTGGGCGGCATGCATCCGCACCACATCCAGCAGCAGCAGCAGCTGATGGCCGCGGCGGCGGCTGCTGCGCATGCGGCACAGCACCACCATGCGGGTCACCAGCGGGAACAGCAGCAGCACCACCAGATTTGGCAGACTCGCAGCTATGAGAGCGGCATAGGTATTTATAAACAGGGCGGGCCATCATCACACAAATCGCACGCACTGCAAATGCATCAGCAAATGCAACTGCAACATCAACATAAAAATCAACAACAAGAACCACTGTCACTGCCAACGGACTTAACAGCAACCACCAAGACACAAAGCACAGCTAACCAAGCACGTAGCCACCACCAGCCACATCCGCATCTGCATCCGCACGCACATCCGCACCACAGACACCACCGGCACACAGGCCACCACTGCGAACGGCACGCCCACTTGCAGCAGCAACATTCTGCACCGCAGCAACATGTGTTGCAGCAACCGTACTACGACAATCTGGAGAACCCGGTGGGTCGCCAGGTGACCCGTCGGCCCTCCACCCGTCGTTCTGCGCCCGAGGAGAGCTCCTCCTGCAACTGCGTGAGCTGCTATACGCTGGCTCCCCTCTGCGGAGCAGTGCCTCCGCCACGTCCGCAAAGGAGCCTGAGCCAGCGGCAGTTGAGGCGTCACCAGCGGCTAAGTGGCAGCCAGGTGGAGCCGGAACTCCGGCCAGCGGTGGTCAAGTGGTGCAGCGAGAGCGATGTCTCGGTGCTGGAGCCGGAGCTGGAGCCTACGGCTAACGAACGATATGACGACTGCTACGACTACGATGACTTCGACATGGCATTCGACCTGGACGATGACCTGGGTCTGACTCAGAACATACCAAGACGCAAGGGCACCGAGACGGTGGATATGTATGTGGATCGCGCCCATCTCCGCCAGCTGCAGACGCCGGCTGCCGTGCTGCGCACCAAGTCCCAGTCCACCGAGAGCTTCTTCGAGCAGCCCAACGAGGAGGGCTCGCTGTACATGTACGGCGGCAGGAAGCGGATCGCGGTGAAGGCGCCGTCGGCGGCCAACATCTATGACCGGGTGCGCGGCTCCATTGGCTCCACTGAGAGGGGACGCAGTGCGGCAGGACCAAAAAGGGGCCAGTGCCATAGGAAGCCCCAGCTGCCAGTGCCCAGTTGGCGGGGCGGCAAGCGACAGGAGCAGGCTCAAAACGCTGACAAAAGACAAAGATATGACAATGCCACCAATACCAATACCAATAGCAACAGCAACAACAGCAACGGCAACAACAACAGCAGCAACATGCAACACAAAAGACAGCTAACGAACGCCAAGCAAGACAATGACGACATGTTGAAAAACAAAAATTATTTCAATAGTAAAAACAAAAGTATAGCAACAGCAACAGCAACAGCAGCAGCAGCAGCGAAAGCGACAGCAACATCAGCCAACACAGCAGCAACATCTGGAGGTGGAGCAGGAGCAGGAGCTGGAACTGGAGCTGGAGCAACAGGAGTTGCGGGGGGAAAGCCAAGAGGAGCCGGCGGTCCAACAATGTCCCCAACATTGGCCGCCAGCCCAGCAACAAACAATGCATCTGCGGCCAGTGGGATGCCTTCTGCTCCTCCTCCGACGGCCTCCAGAACCGGACGCAGTGCCAGCCGCCTTGACATCAGCGACATGGAGTCCATTTATGGCTACCTGAAGCCCCGCAAGCCGCGCAGCCTCAGCCTGAAGAAAATCCAAATACTCGACTACTGAACGGACACGTGAATTTGTATGGGGTTGCTCTAAATCGAAACGAGGTTATATGGCCCAGACATGGATATTAGTTATTGCTTTTGTTTGCCCTACCCCCTTGGGTCGGATGATGGGTGGCTGTATATACATACTATTCCTACAAACGCAAAATGGTTACCTTTTTTTACCCGGTGAACAGAACCACTAAACTGTACGAAATGTCTACTAATTTAGCACCTTGGACTCCTCTAGCCTGGACAGTCACAAACGCAATTGTACATACACAGAACGGGAGGGGGATAATTGATTTAAAAGGCAGTTCAAAATCTAAGAGGTGAAAAGTAATCAACAATACGGTTACAAAAAATGTAGTTCAATAAAACATGAATCTCAAGAATTCACGTTTTCTTATACTGAGATTACTTTCCCACCTGCTTAGATCTACCATTGAAATCGACCAACCCATACCCACTATACATATATATTCGCATACATAATCCCTTGAAATGTACCAGCACCAGTTTTGTAACCCCCGATCTCTGTGCTTTTTGTAGATTCGGAGCTTGTTGAATCACCCTACAATCACATCTACGGACGCCATTTACCGCTGCCAACGCGCGGCTACGTGCCCACACCACGCATGTTCATCGGGGAATGGGACTGAGCCGAGATCACACCGCACTGGGGCGGGTTTTTAGCCGGATTTTGAGCGGCCAAGGCACAAATCAAAAAACACCACTTGCACTTCCCAGCGCGAGGAACGCTGCCCGTGCGGAGCTAATTTAAGTCAACTGGCTGCACACAGCTTGAAATATTATTTACATTATATTAATTTAGCAAAATATTATGGTAAAATAATATTAGGCTAGGCATAAGCAATCAAAAAAAAAAAGCAAACCAATCTAATACTTAGTGGTACGACAACCGAAATATTTCGCGCTTTCCTCTAGAAGTTTTGAGATTACGCACTTTGTTTACCCTGATGTACGAATTGAAAGAATAGCCATTACATTACGAGTTCAGTTAATTTGTAAGTTTATTGTAAATTTTTCATTGGCAGCCGAAGACTCAATGCGCCTGTTCGGGTATTTACATTATTTAAATCATTTTAACTTTTTAAATCAAAGATTTTTAATCATTTTTTTGTGAAAACCCAAACAGGTCCTCTTTTTTCTTAATGGTCAGACAGGCTGCTGCTCTTTATTTTTTATCGAAATATTCTGTATTGTGTATGAAAAGTAATAAAAATAATCTTTTAAAAAAATTCAATTTTAGTTTTCAAATTGAAAACATTTTATTTATGAACTAAAGATTTGACTTGCCTACTCTTGATGGCATTCCTGATGATCACATATAGTAATCGGGATTCCAATTTGGTGGGCGCATGTGATCCGGATTGATTCCACCCTGACCCGGCACATTGGGATTGAGGGGACTGAACGGATCGAAGCGCGGCAAAGGTCCCGGCCCCATATTTGGGCGCGATGGAAAAGCAAACAGGTTACCAGAGCCACCACGACCTAGTGGATCCAGATCTCCGCGTCCGATGTCTGGAAAGCCAAAAGGGCGCGGCTCGAATCCACCCGGAATGAAGGACCTAAATGACGACCGTGGATTAATGGGTGCATAGATAGTGGTAATCAATTAAATAATGCTCTAAGGAGGAACCATCAAAAACGATGTGGTTAAAAATTACATTTCCGTTGATGGTTCAGCTCTTTTATCTGTTCTGTTTTCTCATCAAATTACACTTTTTGGACAAGGTTGAATAATTTTACTAAGTCATTTGACCTTGTTTCAGTGATCACCAGGCACACTTAAGCCCTCTGAAACAACATGTCGAATAATACGTAAATTTTAAGGTCCTAAGCGTAGTTTTTACGATCATATCAATTTAAATGCACCTCAGAGCAACAGAACAAATTAAAGAACTGGGAAGAGCAAATTAAACTTTAACCATGGTGCTTATGCCTTACCCTCCACGTCTGGGCTCGCCAATGCGCAAAGGATCCGGATCCGATACGCTGGGACGTGGCGAGGTGGTCGTCTGGGTGGTGACCTCTCGGGAATTGCCAGTGAAGACCGGGTCCAGGAGTTCCCGGCGATAGCGCTCTACAATCTCTGAGGCGCTTGGCATCAAGGTGGTAATGCCTCCCTTGACGGCGGCTACCAAGGTCTCTGGTTCTACGCAGATGTTAGACACCTTCTTGGTGTTGATGTCCATCAGGTTGATCAGCAGGGCATCCTCGGTGATGTGGCCCAGCAGCAGGTAGAGGCACTTGTCATGCACATAACGCAGCGAGTACTTGGTATCGTCATCGTTCCAGCTGTCCGGCAGCAGCTCACTGCCCTCTTCCTCCGGCAAGGTTTTCTAGAACAGTCTAGATGATTCCAGGAACAAATATATATTTCGCCATAAGCTTACATCGTCGCCGATGCCAACGCATCGAAAGTTGTAGTGTTTGGTCAGGAGAAAGTGAACCAGGGCAACCAGCAGGTCCGACTTCTTGGCCACCTCCGCCTGGACGGTCTTGTACAGCAGATCCCAGCCGTAGAAGAAATCGCCCGTCTTGGGAACCGCTGCAGTGTCCATGGAGGCTTCACAAGTTCTGGACAGGATTAAGCAATACGAACGAAACGTTCCAATTTGTGCTTAGGTGGAAATAAATGTGCTTACATTTATTAGATCGTTCGTTCGGATGTCACTGCCTACAGTCCTTCAGTTGTCAGTGTTTTCGGTTTCTGGAAAAAGACAAATTTCATCTCAAATGTAAGGATGATCAAAAATGACTTAGCGAAACAAAACATCTACAGAGACACAGACCCAAACCATTTCATTTTAAAATGTAATTACCTAAAGAAACAGCGAAATCTGGTGATTCCGTGGAAGTTCCTTTGCCTTCCTCAAGTACTTGGAAATCAACAAATATACGGTTTATTTAATATAATAGTCGACTTATACTCGAGTAGAGGTGGGAACAGTTTATTATTAGAGCTGAAACAAAATCGATGTTTAAATTTTCTTATCGATTCGGTTTTAGGAAATCGATACTTTTGAATGTCCGTATTTAAAATGTCTGTAACAACTCAAAATTTGTTCAGTTTTTAATGAATAATAAATAAAAAATAATTAATAATACAAAATGTTATTAGGGATGGTCAATATTTACGATATCTTTTTTGGTAACTGATAAGCAAGCTATCGATTTTGTATAAGAGTTGCCAACATATTGCAAAAAAGTTATCGACAAGGTAAATGACCTCCGGTTATGTTTTTATTGAATTGTTTAAGTAAGATTTTTTAAGAAACATGGCCCTAAAACTTTTCATTTTGTGAAGTTAGTGGGAGCCTGAAATCATTCGGTCTTAAATATACTTTTACAAAAGAGATTATTAAAATTGAGTATCGAAATTTTAAAATTCTATGGAAAAATTATTTTTTAAAGCAGGATAATATAATTTTAAGACGGACAAAGAATCTTAAATCGTTGAAATTATTCCTTACTGATGAACTCTTCAGTAATGGTTACTGAGAAATGGTTCCGGAAAAATGGTTACTATCGTCTTTATCGATAACAAAAAAAATGATCTTGTCTTACATTTTTTTTTAAGCACATAAATTAACTAGTTTTAAAAAAACATATTATCAACAAATTTTAAACATTTTAATCATATATTATTGTTAAATAAAAGGAAATTCAATTTCTGAATGATCTGTCCACTTGCTTTGAAAAATGCATCAAGAATGCGCAGAGAACAAAGAAAATAATCTATCCACGACTAAATCAGATGTATATATACAATTTTCATATGCTTTTCCAGCAAGGATCATGAAAAAATGACTCAAGTTCAGTTTGTACATCTTGCTTGGAGGAAGTACCTTCTATGATCACTTGCGTTATCTTACCTGATTTAATATTTGTTTAAATATTGGTCCACATGTTATTGGTTGGTTCCAGAATCTTGTTTAAATATAAATTTGTTGAGTCATGTCTTAATTATTCAAGCAATTGTAAGAAAAGTAAAAAAAATATCGATTTATTAGTACGGTCACACTAATATCGATATATTGGAACTAGTTCGACTATAGCGAAAATATTCGCAAATTTGCTAGTGTTGGGTATTAAAAATGAAGTAATATTTTATAAAATGTTTATTTTAATCAGATAAAAGTTGTCTTTCTCACTTTTAAGGCCACAAAATGTTTAGATATTTGTGTTCTCTTTCTCAAAGCGGTCGTATTCTTATGGACCGACTATGAGTGCGAATGAGACAACTACTTGGTTTAGGGTTGCCAAGACTTGCAAATATTGAACAAAAAATTGAAGTTTTTGTACGTAAAGATGAACTTATTGCCCTTACAAATTATGATAATAGCTCAAAAAAACACAATTAAACATTTTTTTTTTAAAAATCTTTATTTTTGAAAATATTGTTATCTGAAAGATTGTTTTTTTGTGGTGGTATTGTGAGGTATTTGCCGATCTTCTGGATGTAAACATTTTTTCATTGCTGGGTATATATTTTCTAAAAGGATTGCCGTCAAATTGCGATATAGAGTATCATTCCAAACTTGTTATATACACTTCGTAGAGGCAACTTCGGCTCCGAGCCGAAGCGGCAGCCATATTGAAATCACGACCGAATGGCTGGTTGTCACTCTCGGGTGAAAAAATCTTTTCTTTCACATTTTCGATGAGACTGGCTGTGCATTGTTCGGAAAAAGAAGCTAAAATAAAAATTACTATTTGCCGGTTGCTGCAACTAATAAAATATAAACACGCGCCAGTTGCAGGGTTGTTATTGTTGTCGTTGGCGAACATCAAGAGTGTGTGATTAGCGCGCCGCTTCTTTTTTTGCGGCGGCCGCAGCGAATTTTTCATTTGTAAGGTTTTTAGGGATAAAATTGGGTAGGATCGTAGCGGTTTCTAATCCCAGGAGCAGGATACAAATCAGCAACCATGAGCAGCAGTACTCCGGGCAGCGAAAGTGCCCTGGTGAAGGTAGCGACGCCTTCGCCATCGCCGCTGGCCAGAATGGATGTGGACTATACGGGTGAGTGTACCTTCATGGAAAGCACGATGTGGCAGAGGGATCAGTAACTCAGTAAATCGCACATCCAGGTTCGAAGTTCGAGATGCACTCGTCGCTGTCCGATGAGGAGCGCCGCTTCTACCTAAAGATGTACCCCAACGTGGATCTGGTCAACCAGCGAAAGGTGCACTGCACCGTGTGCAAACTGCACCTGGGCACTGCCCCCGCCTCGGAGAACAACATCAAAATGCATCCGATCCTGCGAGTTACGCACTGCGTCAAGTGCCATGATTTCTACAACAGCGGCGAGTTCTCCAAGGGCGAGGATGGCTCTGAGCTGTACTGCCGCTGGTGCGGACAGGGTGGCGAGGTGTACTGCTGCTCCACCTGCCCATACGTCTTCTGCAAGTCCTGCATCGTCAAGAACCTGTCCAAGGGCGTCATCGTGGACATCGAGCAGAACGAGCACTGGAACTGCTTCAGTTGCACCTCCAAGATCCTCTGGCCACTGCGCGCCCAGCACTGGGCCCTGGTCAACTACCTGGAGACGCAGAAGAGGTGCGTCTCACTGTCTGGGTTTCCTAAATTCATGATTTTTATGATCTTGCATCTTGTATCTTAGATCTCTTCTTGTTCATACGTGGCATGTCTTGTAGTATAGATAAGTTTAAACATTTATAGAAGCCTATCCCAAAGACGATTTTATCTGACTATTTGGACCCACTATTAATTCCATACCATTTAATGAATTTGCTTAAGTAAATACTTCAACCCACATATATTTTCTCAGGATCTCGTAGTTGCATTTTAAGGACAGACCTTCTAAAATATAACTTTCTTAAATGGCAGAAGTATTGTCAGCCAATATCAATAGTTGTTTCAAAGCATGGTATTCATTTATACTTAAAAACTACCCTTAAAAAACTTATAAATTGCTTGCTCTTTGTATAATACCCTCTTATTGTATATTACAGGGCCCTCCAGGGTTTGCAGCTGTCCGATGTGGAGGCACGCCGCCAAATGCTCAAGGATAACAGCAACTGCTGCCGCCTGGCCAAGTCGAAGGCCAGCAGCTTGTCCGACTCCATGGAGAGCTTGGAGTCCAATGTTTCCAAGCGCAGCCACAACAGCTCAGTGAGCTCAAACAAACGAGGATCCATGCCCAAAGCCGTTCCTTCGGCACCGCCAGCCAAACGCCCGAAATCTTCCAACGACGAGGTGGTCTGCACACCGGATCTGCTCAGTATGCTGGAGCCGGATTGCCAGCTTTCTGTGACTCCGAAGCCCGCTGGCCGTCAGTCGATGCCGGCGGCCAGTGTCACAACCACCCCGAGGATTGTCACCGTCCAGCAGAACTACCAGCCGGGACCAAGTTCCAGCAACAGCAGCAGCAATGGGAGTGCCAGTGGCTCCTCCTCGATGACAATGCCGCGTAGCAACCTCCCGCCGCCGCTGGTGCTTAGTGGATCGGGCATTCGCTATCGCCAGGCTGCCCCTGGTGTTAGCTCCAATGTAGTGCGACGCACCGTCGTACCCAACGCAGTGAAGTCTGCTGGGCCAGTCTTCCACACCATCAACGGGTACCGGGTAGATTTGAACAGCGCTGCACAACAGGATTCCTACCGCCTGCCTAATGGTCGTTTGATTCAGGTGAAGCGTCAGATGCCTCAAGCCGTCAGTCAGCCGTCGCCACCGCCACCTCCGCCTGCTTTGTCTATTCCCCAAGTGGGTCCAGGAGTGGTCATCCGCCCAAGACCTCCGAATCCGCCTAGCCGGCCCTCGCTGCATATCAGCACCTACGGCTCCAACATGGGCATCTACAATCCGCAGTCGGGCCCGCCGCAGCGGGCTCCGCAAGTGCGAGTTGCCAATCCAATTCAAGCGCCTCCACCGCTACAAGGTCCACCACCGAACGCCAATGGAGGTCAAACACTTATGATAACTCCAGCACCGCCTCCACCGCCCAAGGTCCCAACTTTGGTTCGTCACAACTTCCCCAACACGCCGATGGGACAGGCACGTGCCCAGCTACAGGAGCAAATCTTCAGCGCCATGGACATCTGCACCCATCTCACCGGCAAGGTGGTCTCGCTCACCCACTCGAACGCTTACAACCAGGTGCGCAATTATCTGGAACTCAAGGAGCTGTACATCCACATGTCGTATTTGATGACCTACGCCATCGGGCGGTTCAAGAATCTGCAAGAGAAGTGCCTGGTGGACATGCGGGAGAAGGGCTTTAAGAACGACGCAAACAGTCTGGAGAACGGTCAACTGGCTGCCGGTGAGTTGGAACATTCATGTATTGCTTATAGTTGTGGACTTAAAATGATTACTCTGTATACTCAAGGGTTAACTGGCAGATTAAAATCTGCAATCTATAGAAGTCTAATGTAATTTTAAATTTACCTGAAAAGGATTAGCGAAAGGATGGCCCATTTTTAATATTATTAAACTAGGAAGTTACCTTTTTTGTGGTACTTTAGCTCCTTAAATATTTTCATTTTTAAAAGTTTACGAGTTACGTTCTTTAAACGTTTTTTGGTACTTAAGTAATGGAGAGTTTGTAAAACGCAAAATCAGTTTAAGGGGAATTTAGTGGTGTCCAGAATTTCCCATTTCCTGTCTTTGGTGCGTATTTTCGACACATGGACGGGCGTTGGCATTTGATTTCCGGTTTTCGTTTCGCGAGTGTCTTTATTTTTATCGGATGCTGATGACGATTTAAGTGCATGTAAGTATGCTGTGTTTATGAAAAACTCTGCGAGTTCCATTTCATTGGCTGCGATGAGTAGATTTTAATTTTAGCTTGGTCCATGTGTTTGCAAAATACCATCCAGAACAGGCAATGGAATAGAACCCAGCAGCAGTTTTTCCTGCGAGGCTAACGCTTTTAATCTCCCGCTTATTGCAGCCGTTGATTACGTGTGCTACGGCCAGCTGGACGACGTGGATCTCTTCAACACGGGCTGCAATAGTTTCCACAACCAGGTCTACGAGTATCGCAAGAGTCTGCATGCCAACCTGAAGGATGGCGAAGATTGTGAGCCACTGCCTCCCCTGATGCCACTGGGCGTTCGAGCCGAAGGTGATCCCATCGATGAACCGGAGGAAACGGAATTAGCGCCGGAACAGCAGCGAGGCGATGCAGGAAACGAAAACGAAGAAGCGGATGATTTTGACTACGATGAACCGGACGATTTGGATGATGATTTGGAGGACGATGACTTGGACAACGAGGAGTGCGGCGAACTTGGCACTGAGGAGAGCATGAATCGTAACGAACAGGCTCATGCCTACGATCGCAAGCTGACACGTCTGCTCCGCGAATATCCGTCTCTTTGGTGCACTCGACATCCCGATTATGGCAAGAAAGAGGTTACCAACAAGCAATGGCGGGTGATTGCCAGCCACTTTCCACGTGGCGATGACATCAAGCTGCGCTGGAAGAATGTGCGAAAGCGGTATGTTCGGATTGAGAGGCGATTAAAGCAGGGAAAGCGCTTTAAGGGCTACTTCGATAAGGCCACCAACTATTTGGAGAATAGGGATCGGCCTAGGAGCGAATGGCTGGCGGTGGACTGCGGCGAGGATGATGGTGATGGCTTCGAGCGCAAGCACCTTGACGTGATCGAAAACACAATGGAACAAAAGGCACTGAAGCAACCAGCAGTAAAAATAAAACCAAAAGGTGGCTCTCGAGTGCCCACGCGTCCACTCGATGTGCGTCCCATTGATCAACGCATCATAACCTTCGCCAAAAGCCACCCAGTGCTGTGGCGCAAATCCGCCGATCCCGAATTCAACAGTATTGACGAGCAAACCAGAAAGTCCCTGTGGCAGAACTTTTGGAAGACTGCACCCAGTGAGTTGAAATAACCGTGGTTTGCTTAACCTCTTCTGATTGGTTTACTTTTTCAGATTATGCTTGCGAGTATCTTGTGGAACGCTGGCAGCAAATGTATGAGATGTACAAGTCCTTCCGCCTCAAGAGTATTAAAGACAAAGGAATCTTTGCAAATCTGGAGCTAAAGTACTCAAAGTACTTGGCCAGCTTGTATTTCCTGTACAAGATCGATGAGCAAGACCTGCGCGACGAGTTCGAGCCACTGCAGGATTGTGTGCCGAACGGCGCCGACACCGCGGGAAAACTTAAAGACATGCCCGATGACAAGCAGTTCTCCCAGCAACTGGTTCTGGCCATGAGGGCCTATCCCACCCTGTGGAATCCACGTCATGTGGACTACAGCGATGTGGCAGCCAGAGAGCGGCTTTGGCCGGAAGTAGCCAGGCGGTTGCCCCGTTTTAAAAGGGATGCCCAGGCCTGCAAGCTTCGCTGGCAGATGGCCAAGTTTGCATATGAGTGCTACTGCCGCGAGATGGAGCGACATCCACGGGTCAACGAGCGAAAACTGCAGAAGCTTCGCTGCAATTTCCCACTCGAGGAGATGCGCTTTCTCAACATTTAGACTTGACATTCCAGTCCCCATTTTTTAGGCTTAGTTTTTTGTACTTTGAGATTATAGTTTAAGCTTAAATAAACAGTATTTGCCAATTTTGCCAGGAGTCATACTTAAAAATATAAAGTAAAACTCTTATCATTATAAGCTGTGCTGTACAATTTATGGGTCTCGAGGTTATTTTCAGTTCATAGCTTTTTACTGTTTTATAGTAAACATTAATTTATATTAACCTTAACCTTTACCTTGCAGAAAAACAAGCTAGCGATGACGAGGACAACGAGATCGAGATTGTGGAGCCCAAGACGGACACCATCACCATCGATTCAGACAACGAAGATGACACGCCATCGACCTCGTCGCAACAACAACCACAACAAAATGCTATTATGAAGATAACTTCGGTGACATCGGCTGCACCAAAAAGTGAACTGAAGGAGAACCAGGCCGAGATCGATGTGGCTGCTTTCAGCTCCACGATCTTGGCCAGTCTGCTGGAAGTGGAGGTTAACGAGGTCCCCAATGAGCCCAAGTCTGTTTCTCCAGGCCAAAAGAAGCAGCCGCGCAAGAAGACAACGAATAAGCCAAACCCGGCACTTTTGCAGCTGGAACGCCTCCGCATGGAGGAGATGAAGAACTCCGATGCCAAGCTAAAGATGAAGGTTGTGGTTAGATTAAAGCGAGCTGAGGATGAGTTCGAGGTGGCACGCAAATGGGTTGAAGACTGCTGGAAACGGGAACAGAAATTGGGCACCGGAAATGATTCTAGTGCTGTGAAGGAAGTCTCAGAAAATGATGCAGCCAAGGAGCCAGCGAAGGCGCCAAGTGAAAAAGCAGCAGACTCCATTAAAAAGATTGCGGAAAAACCGGTAATTCAAGAGAAAGCATCCTCGGCCAAGAAAGAGTCCATAAAAGAGCAAGGCGAGGAGAAAGTGACTGTGGTTGATAAGGAAAAGGTCAAAAACAAGGAAAAAATTGGAAACATTTTAAAAGCGGCCATTAAAGCTAAAATTGGAGAAAAGGATAAGAAAATAGCTGAAGAAAAGCTTGCACAGGATGAAAATTCAACAGAGGGTGAGAAGAAACTGGCGAACGAAAAAACAGGGAAAGAAAAAGTGGAGAATGTAAAATTAATATCAAAAGAAATAGAAATTAAGAAAGTATCAGCATTGGAAAAGGGAAAAGTATCTCAAAAAATAGAGGCAAAAGTATCGGAGAAAGTAAAAGAATTAGCAAAGGAAAAAAATTTAAAGGAAGATGGTGAGAAAGAGTCCAGCAAACAAGTTTCGAAAGAGAAAAAGGCTGATGGTACAGAAATGGAAGTGGATTCGGAAATATCTTCGGAAAAAGAACAGGTCGATCCCAAAGAAGTCGAATCCCAAAATGTATCAAAAAAAGAACAGAGTGCTTTTCTAGAATTGGAAGTGGACTCCGAAATAACTTCAGAAATAAAAAAGGTTGATCAAAAAGATAAAAAAGAAGAACCTAAAACAGCTGAAAAGAACACAATTCCAAAGGCAAACCCTATAGTTAAGAAGAATGTAAATAAGCCGCTTAAAGAATATATTTCTGAGGCCAAAACAAGTGTCATAGAAAAAAAAAAGCAAACCGAAAAACCTGTAAAGAAACCAGATGAGGTTAGTGAGAAACTCAGAAAAAATGAAGTGACAAAAGATAAGGATATCTCAATGGAGTCAGAAAAGGAATCCATTAAAGATGCAGAAGCAGACACTGAAGAAATTCAAAACAACATCGCAGAGGTAGAAGAAGCTGTGGAGACCGACATTGTAGACCAACTAACATCAAACATAGTAGAATCCATGGACACTTGCATCGAAAATGACCAGCCTTCCGCAGCAGAGCTCCTAGAAAGCATGGACGTCGGCGAACTTGTCGAAACTCCCAAAGAACTACTTGATTGCGCTATAGACGAAGTCATTGCCATGGATGGCATTGAACTCAGTGAAGCCACTGAAGAGCTGATGAAAGTTTTGAATAGTCCCAGCGTCCTAGCGTCCGACAATGCAAACGAAGATGAGACTGACTCGGATGCTAATGATTTGATTGACAACATCCCACTCGAAACCACGGAGCCACCTGAGATCCTCTTGAAAGAGGATGAGGGCGAGGTATCCAGTAAGTCGGGACCGCTGACCGAGACTGAACAAAGTCAGACACCTTCGGCGAGCTCCGGCGAAAATGGTGACACCGAAATGGAATCCACCCAGGACGTCAGTGATTCTGCACAAAACGAGCCCGCCACGGCTCAAATTGTTGGCTAGTTTGTGGTGATATTTCGAGGTCCCACCGACGAGGAAACATAGCATTGGACCTCAAAACCTTTAATTTAGAATTTCTACTAGAATTTAAATGAAAGACAACTAACACGACGGACATAAAACCTAACAGGAGAAAACCATAAACCCTAAAAGTTTCATGTAAATACTTTTTTACGTTTCTAATGTAAACTTTTCTCGCAATTGTAAATCCGATCGTCTTCTGTTGTAGAAATTGTTTTTTTTCCAACATTGACTTGTATAAACTAATTGCTATCAAATTGTTTGCTTGTGGACCTTATATTCTTGTGAATATCAAACAAGCGCGAAGCTCAGCTAAGTTTTTAGGCTAACAGCTTTCAGAATGCCTGAAAGTGCACAAATAAAACAAATATCTCCGATTCCATTTGTATCAATCATTGAATTTTTTCAACAAGCGTATAGAATATAGACTTAGGTGTTGCATTTTACAATGCATTGTTATGTTTCCGAACCGCTTAAAAAGCCTGGTAATCCCACAGAATTTAAGGAGATATTCAAGATTTGAAACAATATCTTTTAGCTTCTCTCAATGGTCGTTCATATTTTGGTAACTGAATTATATGGAGTACAACAGCCGATTGAAAATAAATTAGTACTTAGGTATTAATTGATATTGATATTGATATAAATGTGTAATTCTAAGCTTATCTTATGACAAATAAAAGAGATAAAGAACTAGCATTAAAGCAATATAGTCAATATCTTAACAGTGTGATTTCTTTGTTATTTGACTTTTGATGAAGTGTTTATCTGGCGGTGGACATTTAACGCTATAGTTGGATACAAAGGACCAGGCCTTCAACATTTGATGCTCGGGCACTGGGTGAAGTGAAATGGTTCCCTTGAAGATGCACAGTGGCTTTCCGTGGACGTAGTTAAAGAGAGGATAATGGCGCCGCTGGATTCCCGCTTTCTCCGCACATATCCCAGTGACGAAGACATCCTCCAGATGCACGAGAGATGTGTTAATAGCTTGCTCATACAACCGCTGAACCACATCCATGGAAAGGAGATAGCCAGTCCCAGATAGATACTTTGGGTACTTCGCCCCACGAAACATATATTGCGGCATGTACCAGGGACTTCTCACATCGTAGTTGGCTTTCATGTTGCAGAACTTGTGGCCGTACATCACTTCGTTGCTGGCACTCAAACGATTCCAGGGCGACATTACTTTGTATGTGGTGCGAAAATGATAGCCCACAGTATCCTTATAAAGGGGGATTGTACCGCCCAGTAGGAAGTGAAGCAAGTTGGGCACATTGACGAAGGTATCATCATCACATTTCATGAAGAAGGCGGCTGTTTTTACGCAACTTTGGCTGATGTGCTTCAGAGCCATCACCGACTTTAGGGTCAGGTTGTGGTAACTGTCTATAAAGTTCTCCTGGATGATATCGTTGTGTTGATTTGCCTCTCTGGATAACTTTTCCCGCATGGAATCATGCTGGGATTTTCCTACTATGAAGACAATCCTTACCGTGGCGGTCAATGAGTGATCCAAAACTCTCAGATAATCGGCGTAGAGCTTTATACGATCTTTCATTATGGGCAGGTATTTACCTTCCAGGTGACCATGTAGCTTCATAAATACTCCATAATTAAACTCCTTGGTGTTTCCCCATGTTTCCCGGATAGTCTTTCGTTGAGCAAAGTGATCCAGACTGGAGCAAACGGCAATAACCAGAAAGGTTTTCCTCTTGCATAAGTCCTGGGGCACAATGAGTGCTGTGTTTTTCATTTGGTCCAGATAATCGCCTACTTTCATCGGCTTCTCGCGTTCCCATCCTGGCAATTCAGCTGTCAAAAAAAAAAATGTGACAAATGAAAATAAATATTATTTTTCTTACCTTTTCGATCAGAATTATCCACATATTTATCTATTTGATTCCGGTAGATACAAAATAGCACAAATATAATAATCAGAATTAATTTGTACCTGCGAGTAAGCCGCCAGATCCTCGGGAGATGCAATCGCAATCGCTGCAGCAGCCCCATTCTTTTTAATATACTCCAAATTGTTAAAATCGAAATAATACAATTTGACGGAACATAAAACGAAGTCTAGTTTTCAAGTTATTTAAATTTCGCTCTAAAAAGGTTTTAGACAAAGATGGTATCAGTTTCGATTGCAACCATTTTAAAGGCCGTTTTCTAGCCCGCATATTAAAAAGTAGGATTCAAACCTACTGAGTTTATGAAAATTAAGAGAAAACGAACATAGCATCTGATTTTGGTAAAGTAAAATTGCATCTATCTATTTTAAATGCACAAGAAAATGCTTTAAGCAAAACGTTAATTACAAACATAATTAGTTCAACACCTTTGCCTCCTGCGCAGATTTAACTGAAAGTCCTTTCCTGGCGGTGGGCATTTGCTGCTGTAGTTGGTGACCTGGTACCAGGCCTCCCACATTAGGTAATCCTTAGCGCGGTGGGCGGTGAAGGAACCTTTGAGGGCGCACAGCTCGTCAACCTGGAAAGGGTAACTGGACCTAAAGAGCGGGTGGTTCGTCCGCTTGACACCAGCCTTTTCCGCAGATAATCCGGTGACGAACAGGTCCTCCAAGTGCACGATCCTGGTGCCCAGCGCGGCCTTGTAGAGCCGTGGCACCACGTCAATGGACGCCACGTAGCCGGATCCACACAGGTAGGGCGGATACACACTGCCCCGGAACATGTACGATGGCATGTACCACTTGTTCAGCTTATTAGTGATCGGTGGTACGTTGCAGTACTGGCGTCCATACAACACCCCTCTGCGGGCCGTCAACCGTTTCCGAGGCGAAGTGACCTGATACGTGTTGAGGTAATGGTACCCCACGGTGACCTCGTTCAGAGGAATCGTTCCTCCGAGCAGAAAGTGCAGCACATTGGGTATATTCACAAAGGTGTCGTCGTCGCACTTGAAGTAAAATGCCGTCGAGTTCATACAATTCTGGCTGATGTGCTTCATGGCCATCACCGTCTTAATGGTCAGGTTATTGTAGGTGTCCAAGAAGTTCTCCTGGATGATATCATTATACTTTTCCGCCTCGCTGGCAACCGCCTCATTTTCAAGCAAAGAGGCCCAGTTCCTGCGGCCCAGAATGAAAACAATCCGGATGGAGGCCTTCAGGGAGTCACCCTCGCCACTCAGATACTCGGCATAGAGTTTCAGACGCTCGGGTAGCACATCAAGGTATTGTCCCTTGGGGTAGCCATGGAGCTTTACAAATGACGAGTAGTTAAAGTCAGTGGAGTTGCCCCAAAGCATGCGGATGGCGCGTCGCCGCTCAAAGTGGTGCACAAAGGAGCACACTGCGATGGTCAGGAAGGCCTTACTTCGGCAAAACTCCCGAGGGACAATAAGCGCCGTATCCTTGGCTGGATCCAAGTAATCAGCAATACTCCTGGGCGTATCACGACCCCAACCCGACAGAGAAGCTGTTAAGAAATAATAATTAGAGTCAAGAATTGATCGTATTAATTGTTTTACATACCAGTTCGCTTGCTGGGATCGCCCTTAAAAGTAATTATCCTGTAGACCACGTAAAGCAGAAACAGAATAGCCACGGTATCCTTGTACCTTCTAAGGAGCAGTCTCCAGATCCTTGGCATCAACACTCGCAGTCCCAACTTTCTTAAAAACTTAAAATGCATTTTTCAAGTAAAAAACGTCAAGTTGACAGCCTCACAAAAGGCAATTAAGGTTATAAAACAGCAGAGATAAATTATACATTTTTAAGTAAAAGATTAAGTAAGTTAGATGATTTTCAGATTTTTATTTAGCTTTTCAACATAAACACAACTAGATATTTGGCAATTTGATGCAATAATTGTAGTTTTGTCTTTATCTATCACACGTTTACAAAATGATAAAATTTATTTCCTTACGCTTTTGTGCGTGAATCGTCTTCTTTTGTTTCAGAGGTATTGCAAGGAAGTATTAAATGAACGTAACTGTGTAAACTTATTATTAGTAGAAATTAGCTGTAAGTAAAAAAGCTAAAATAAAGTTTTTAAATATATTTGATATAATTTAATATAAACAATAAATAAATACTTACACTTAAAGTCTATTTATTTAAATAGTTTCTGGGAAGATTCAGAAATCTAGATATATCCGATATCTCGCTTGTGCATTACTTTTAACATTGATATGGAGATTGGGTGCTAGGCGTTTACCAATTTTAATACATTTACACTGCATGAGTTTTGTACAATTTTTGTTATTAAATTTAGGAATACTCAGAGTTAAGAATAATTTAGCAATTTAATGAGCTTGTTTAGCAAACAAAAACTGTATGCAACTCAAAACTTTGAACTAGAATCACCATTAGCGGTTATATATCACCTTTGCCTGGTTACATCAAGTCAGTTGATTATAATCTACAAACAAATCTTTATCTTATCCAAAGAACGTATACAAGTATTTTCAGGAACTAAGTTCAAAAATATCAATCGAAGCAACAAAAGTATAGTATTTCGGGTTCTTCAGAGAGCAGGGGGAATGGGTAGGCGGAGCCTAGAGTCTTAACAATTCTGACGCTTACGCAATCGCATTTGACTGAAGTAACGCCCCGGTGGCGGACACTTGATGGAGTAGTTGGCCACATGGTGCCATGCCTCCACCATGCTGTCGTCTTTCATCTGGTGCTGTGTGATGCTGCCTTTAAAAGCACATGGCTGTTTTGAGTGGGCGAAGCTGAAGAGCGGGTGGTGGTGGCGCTTAATCTTCGCCCTTTGCGCACACAGCCCAGTGATGTACACGTCCTCCAGGTAGACCAGTGTCGTATTGAGCGAGGCCTCGAACAGACGCTGCACCACATCGATGGACAGCAGATAGCCGGCTCCGGAAAGATATTTGGGATATGTCTCCGGCTTATACATGTACGAGGGCATGTACCACTTGCTGCTTACTTCGCTGACCGGCACCACGTTGCAGAACTGATGCCCGTACATCACCTCGCTGGTGGCTTTCAACCGGTTCTGCGGTGCAGTGGCCAAGAAGGTGGAGCGGTCATGATAGTCCAGTGTATCGTTGTACAATGGTATAGTTCCGCCGAGCAGAAAGTGCAACAAATTAGGCACATTCACAAAGGTATCATCGTCGCACTTGAGGAAGAAGACCGAGGTATTGGAGCAACTGCGGCTGATGTGCTTTAGAGCCATCACTGACTTGAGTGTGAGATTATTGTAGCTGTCTACGAAGTTCTCCTGAATGATGTCATTGTACTGGTCCGCTTCAGTGTGAATGCGAGTGAGTGTCTCGTTGCCCACAAGGGCCTCATCTCCCTGGCGGCCAACAATGAATACAATTTTTACAGATGCGGTCAACGAGTCACCCTCGCCGCTCAGGTAATCCTCGTACAGCTTCAGGCGCTCCGGCATTGGCGGCAGGTAATGCCCCTTGAGGTGACCATGGAGCTTGACAAAGGCTGGATAGTTGAACTCGGTGGTGTTTCCCCAGGATTCGCGGATGGTCTGCCGCTGAACAAAGTTTGACACGCCGGTGCACACGGCGATTACCAGGAAGGTCTTGTTCCGGCAAAAGTCCCGGGGAACAATGAGGGCCGTTTCGCGACCGGGATCCAGGTAGTCGGTTGTGCTACGGGAGGTCTCCAGAGTCCAGTCGGGCAGGCCAGCTGGAAAAACAACAATGGATCTGGCTTAGAATGCATGGAGCGATTAGGGAATGCATTGTCCTACCACAACGCTTGTGTCCATCCAAGTATATGAGTGGCAGGTAGACCAGGAGCAGCAGGAAGATAACGAAAGCACTCAGCGTGTAGCAGCCGAGGCGTCTTAACATCCTGGGCTGCGGCATGCGAGTCCTGTGCTGTAGCTTTCTCAGCTGGGTTTTGGTGCGGGGTGCTCCACTGCTGGTAACCGCCTCATCGTCGGATCCGGAGGCAGCTGCGGCCGAGCTCCCAGAACTTTCCACCGCCAGGAGGGCGCATTGCTCCTCGCCATTAGCCGGATTCCAAGTGCGGCTCATTTGGCTGTTGATTCGTTGCTCCTTTGTCCACATTTCACTGCTTTGTGTCTCGCATTTCAACAGCTTTTTAGAGCCGGCCGTGTTGCTGATAGGGGTATCGGAACAGAACAGGGATGGTCTAATCGCCCACACTTGTGATTCACATTTAAGTGTTTTCAAAAAGAGCTAAGTAAACATAATAATAGGACTTCCAATCTAACTGATAATAGAGCGAATTTGCGTGTCAGCTGATTGTAGAATGGTGATGTGACGCAGAGCACTCGTGACTATCGATAAGAATTGCCCATCTCTAGCTAGTTACAATACATTTAAACTTAATTTGTAACGGCCAGTTTAAAAATTCCCTTGGATCAGCGCCTGTTTTAGATTTTCAATTAAATTAAGATTAAATTAAAAAGAAAAAGTCAATTATATTCTCGAGCTTTTTCATGGGTACAGACTATAAAAATAAAAAAAGGACTTTACATTACGGGTCTACATTAACAACATTTGCTACACAGAACGTATGTTTATATTATAAACATTATAATTAAAACCGACTACTAAGCGCTGTGCAATGTACAATGTACATTGGCACAATCATATAAATGATTAAATATTTGAACATAGTATATTCATTCAAATAAAACTAGGGTGGAACGTTTCTCCGAACGATATCACATGTTACATTTATGGCAACCGACCTCCCGAAAATCAAAGCATCATCATTATAGTGCTTAGTAATTGTCTAGGTATATATTTATTTAGAATGTTGTATGTACAATGAATTCGAAAAAATACGCTCCTGGTCAAGTGTATCAAAAATTTCAGTGTTTGAGCGCGTTGTGGATGTCCAAGTAATGATGAAGTGATTGTAAAAGTCAGTGGTCGTTCTTAGCCTAGGTTAAAATTAAAACGGACTACACATAAAATCCGTCAGATAAAAATATTAAAGATGAGAAGCCAGCCCTTAAGAGGTTTATATTGCGACAATGATGACCTGGGACCAGCCCTAGAAATCGGCGTCCAGGGTGAAAACATTGTCCAGACGGTTGGAGGTCACTCCCATGCGCTGGTACTCGCCCACCTTCTTCTCAAAGAAGTTCGTCTTTCCGTCCAGCGAGATCATCTCCATGAAGTTAAAGGGGTTCTTGGTATTGTAGATTTTGCCAACGCTCAACTCCACCAGCAGTCGGTCCGCCACGAATTCAATGTACTGCGACATAAGATCGCAGTTCATGCCGATGAGGTTTACGGGCAAGGCATCGGTTAAGAACTCCTGCTCAATGGCCACCGCATCGCGGATGATCTCGATGATGCGCTCGCGCCTGGGTCGCTGCACCAAGTGCTGGAACATCAGCACGGCAAAGTCGCAATGCAAGCCCTCGTCGCGGGAGATAAGCTCGTTGGAGAAGGTCAGTCCCGGCATCAGACCGCGCTTCTTCAGCCAGAAAATGGAGGCAAAGCTGCCGCTGAAGAAGATGCCCTCGACGGCAGCGAAGGCAATGATGCGCTCCCCGAAATTGGCCGATTTGGAGGAGATCCAGGAAAGGGCCCAGTCCGCCTTGCGCTTCACAGCCGGCATTGTCTCGATGGCGTTGAACAGGTAGTCCCGCTGATGCGGATCCCGGATGTAAGTGTCGATCAGCACACTGTACATTTCCGAGTGCACGTTCTCCATGGCGATTTGGAAGCCATAGAAGCACCGAGCCTCCGTGATCTGCACCTCCTGACTGAAGCGCTCCACCAGGTTCTCGTTCACGATGCCATCGGATGCGGCAAAGAAGGCCAGCACGTGCGAGATGAAGTGACGTTCGTCGTCCTTCAGGCGGTGCCAGTCGGTCAGGTCCTTGGACAGATCCACCTCCTCCACGGTCCAGAAAGAGGCCTCAGCCTGTAAATTGAAGAGGTGGTATATGGTGAAATTGATTTTATTTCAGCTGTACTAACTTACACTTTTTAGTGCTAAGAAAATGATTAACCCGGGTATTTATTATATTCTTTATAAGTTATTAAATTGATCTCATAGGAAGACAGCATAATTTATTTAAAACAAAAATTTCGTTGGTATGGTATTAAGATTAAAGAGCCTAACTTTATTATAGCAAAAAAAAAATTGTAAATACTTTTAAAACGTTTTTACATTGCTTTTTATTATTCATAATCAAGTTGTAACTTATTTTTCCGGTTTCCTAAAGTCAACAGATGGCTTTATAATTGAATGTTATAAAGGGAACTACAGATTAGATTTAAATTAGGGAAACTCAGGTCACGAGTTAAACAAGCAATATTAAAAATGTTGTAACAGAAGCAATTAAAGTTTTATTTCTGTATGTATTCATTATCTGCGGTACGTTTTCCCGCCAAAACGAACGCGTTTGTATGTACTGTGTACACACATATGTTGACATTGGGTAAACCATGATGCAGTGAATCAGCAGAAGGGCCATGGATTGCGGGAGGGGTTGTTTGGCTGGTTATCACCGAGTTTGATTCATGAAATCAACCACGTTGACGTACGTGACCGGCTTTTGGCGCGCTTTATCTCGAAACTCCCGCCCTTCCACAATTTTTGCCGCCGAAAAATTTGATTTTCACCACTAATGCAAATGGAAACCTTATGCTATATGGTTATGGTATACACACCTTCTTGTACATCTGCCAGATGTCGTGGTACTGGATGGGAAAGATGACGAAACGACGGGGATTCTCGCGCAGGAGTGGTTCCAGCGAGGGATCGAAGGGGGTTACCGACTTCTCCACGAGTGAGTTGGCAGACTTTCCCACGCCATTCTCCACCTGACCATTTGTCTCGTGGCCAATGGACATCTTGCGAACGTTGTTGGCGCTCTCCGTCAGAATCTTCTTGCTGGGACTCTGTTTACAAGAAAAACGAAGAAATGCAACCAAAACATCAATATTTTTTCGCTGCGTAGTACTATTTCCCTCGGGGAACCCACACATACGCCCTTCGCGGTATTACGTCTATGTATAGCTGTGAACTTTTCCACTTATTCCGCGTGTCAATTACCTTAAGCGAGAACTTCTCCATGTTGTCCGCAATGTTTTCTTTGGACGCCATTTGAGAGTTGTTTATGATTGGATTAGTCTTGACTGTAGTTTTTTTGTTTTATGCAGCAATATATCTGATGAAATCCACTTTATCCGCGAAGTATCTCTGGCGAAGAGTTCGAAATTTCAGTGACAAATGATGTGGGAAATGCAGCTACCTCGGTTTTTATGCCGGGCGGCAAACGGTTTCGATTTGCCGCCATTTTTGGTGGTGGGAAAACGCTGGGAAATCAGGGTTGGCTAGCCCAGCGAATATCTATTCGGAAAATTACGGAAAAAGAAAATGGCGAGGTAATAAAAATAGAACGCAAAATATTTATCCAAAAAATGTATAAGATATTTTATTATTTAAAAATAAAATGATTGGCTTGTAATCCACTATAGGTTCTACTTTTATTTTGTTTTTAAAAATATTTTTCTACATTCTTCAGCTTCACAAAAATGAACCCTTACTAAAAATATAACCAAGCAACATTGCAGAAACTTTATAAAATTATTTTCAATCGATAGTTTTCAATACTCATATAATTTTAAAGCATGACAACTCTGGACTATTCCAGAAATCAGTATCAGCTGTTGATCCCACTCAAGTGTGATAGTATTGAGTGCAAATTTTTGAACCGTTTTTTTATATCCAAACAAACAAAAAAAGAGCTATGCACTCAAACAATTCGTCTCCAACAACATGGTTTTTAAATTTATAAAAATATGTTTGCTATTTGTAGAAAATTTACTAATGCAACAGGTGCTGAAGTTACTCAATTTGAGTGGATTCCATTACAGCCCTTCATGTTATTAACATAGATATAAAAGAACAGCTGCTAGCCGGTTGTTATCGATAGCCGATTGTTATATTACCGGCTAAAAGTAGTAGTAAACAATTCTTATTTTAACGAGATTTCTTGTTTTAAAAGCTACAAAATGGAAGCCCAATCCTCAGAACACCACAAACGTCTGGAATACTGCACCACAAGACTGAAGTACCGTCAGGGTCGGGAATTAAAAGCTGTTAAGGTGGGTTATAATGCAATTTTCTTGCATTCATTGTAAAATTTAAATACTTTTTAAGGTCTATACAGTGGCCAGTGAGTCCCGGCATTTGCTGATCTTTGGTGTACCGAAAGTAAACCTTCAAGCCGAACTGAAAGCTAAGCTACAGGGATTTGGCAAACTGCAATCTTGCATTTCCATAACTTCAGAGATGGCTTCAAAAAGTGAGTTAGAACCCGACCACTATTTTCTATATACAATTAATTTTCTTATAGTGGAACTAGAAGCCTTTACGGATGTGTTTGCCGTGAAATTCGAACGCCTAGAGGTTGCCAGAAGAGCAAAGAAGATGCTCGATGCCCGCCAGTTCTTTGGCGGCATTTTACACATATCCTACGCTCCAGAGCGGGAGTCCCTCGACGAACTTAGGGAGAAGATGGTGCAGCGCAGGCAGGAGGTGGCTCAACGCATCCGAAGTAACCAGAAAGAAAAGCCTCATGCGCCAAAGAAGAGCCGGGAAGCCAGATGACTACAGGATGTTAACGCTTTATTCAACTTAACTCATTGCAATGAACTCCTAAGGCAGAACGATGTCAGTATTATCGTCACATCAGAGTGTTAGTTGCTACCACTCCGAAACCTCAGCTACCCGTCGGTTCACTTGGCCGTCCCCCGATCCTCTTGTACTATTTCTGCTTCGTCCGTCGCAGGTCGTGGTAGTAATTCAGCAGGCCAATCCGCTTCGCCCAAATTTGTGCTCCATAAGTGGCCCAAAAGCTACGGATTACAGTCGGATTAAAAAGAGAAACCAGGAAGGAATAGACACCCAAACTTACATGCCAAACATTGCACCACCCAAATGCGCCGCATGATCAAAGAACTTCCAGCCCAACACAACGCCGGCAAAGTCAATGCCCATTAGCACTTTTATGCCGGCTCCGGCGGAGAATGTCAACGCGGGTAGGAACAGAATGCTAAGCTGGGTGTCCGGATACTGGGTGCACACATAGGCCAGCAGTGTCATTATGGCTCCAGACTACATGAAGAGCTATCAGTTTGTATTTACTTAAAGTGAGTTGCGTTCGCTTACCGCACCCAGGGACATCCCCGCCTGACTCGTGCCCGCTTTGTAGAGCACGCTCATCAGGCTGGAGAAGACGCCGGCACTGAGGTAGACCGCCAGGAATTGCTCTTTGCCCAGCGAAAGGACCGCCGCGTTGGCAAAGCTGTGCATCACGTACATGTTGGCGAATATGTGCATGGCCGAGTAGTGGCTAAAGGTGGACAGGAACATGGGCCAGCAGACGACTCCTGCAAGAATATAATTTTTTGTTGCATTACATAAATAAGTAAAAAGTTATTGTTGTAAATGATTATATGATTTCAAGAACTTAAGAGTTTAAGTTTAACATTTTTAATTATAATGTCTACTGACTACCTTTAAAATAATGCAAATGAGAAATAGTTTTGCATTCTTAATTAATTTTTGATACTTCATTTCAATTTTGCGAAGAAATCTTTTTATATAACCATCAGTTTGTTTAAGAGATACCCATGGTTAATAATTAAACATATGTATGGTCAAATTTGTAGATCATAGCGTTTGACACATATTATCTGCCCAAAAATCAATACATTTGCAACTATTGTTTAAGACTAATACCACATTACGTTAACTAAACCGTGAAGGCTGTGCCTTACCAAAGACAAGTTTACATTTCGATTTCGTTGATAATGAATTTTAACTTGGCATACTGCCCGGAAGTAGGTAATTTCGCAAGGTTAAGCTTTACCAATCTCACTTTTTAAAAATTTTGGATATAGTTCAAATTCAAAACTTACTCGCCGCTGGATTGGAGGTGAAGTAGGTCATCATAGTGGATCTCAGGGCTGGCACCCGCCACATGGCGAAGGCCACTACATTGCAGAGGAAGATGGGGGCGAACATCTTGTCCCCGGGCGTCAGTGAGTCCCAGTGCCGCCGGATGTCCTGTTTCAGCTGTGTCCAGTAGTCACGGTCCGCCAGTGAACGACTCTGCCACCAGCCGAATCTCGCCTGTCGCGCCTTCTCCAGGATTAGGCTGCGTGTGTTCTCGTACTCCAGGATGGTAGCACCCGCGAAACAGCCCACCGTAAACTAGAGAAGGCAAGTTAAGAGCATAAAACACCTGTTGAATTGCTGACCAGTACCAAATCTTACTGCTCCCGTGAAGGCCACCGCCTTGATCACATTGTTCACCGGCACCGTGGTGTTTTGTTCAGCCGCCAGAGGTTCCCCGGTCGTTGGCTTAAGGTTGCTCTGCTTCCGGTTGCTTTGGAACTGCCGGCAGGACCTGGCCGCCGGATGACCAGAGTTTATTCGCAGGATTGGGACATTTGCATGACATCTGTGGCTATAAGTTTGTAAAAGTCGGGTTACTCCGGTTACGGAACTCTGACGCCGCCCGCTTACTTACGCCACCTGGGATAGCCAACTCCGGCAGAGCGCTCGACTCATGAGCATGGTAGTACGGATCTGGGCCAATTTAGCATGAAATATAGGAAATTTGTTTCTATTTTGCTTCGTGGAGAAAAAACCCGGAATATGTAAGTGTGACCAGAGGGTGGAAAGCCGAAAATGGCAAGGTTACCGAGCAATGGTTAGAGATGCGTGAGCAGCGACAAAATAGTTAAATTTTGTAGTTTTCAACTTTCTAGCTATTTATTTATATACAAATTGAAAAGCAAAAAAATGTAAATTACAAATATTATGTGTTATATTATAATAAAATTTTACGGTGCTGCCATGGCTTGTCAGTAAAATGATGACCATCCTTTATTACTTCATCCTTGTTAGGATGAATTATTTTTAGGTAAAAATTCAAACTCCAATTCCCCGTTGCTACCTTGACTCACCCTTCTAAGTTGGTAATTCATACCCAGTCGCCGACGGTCACACTGCACACTTGACAATATTGGCGTTCCAAAAAGCGACAACAACAAAACACGGCTTGGTTATTTTCCTCGGCTAGCGCGCCCTAACACCGAACAGCACGTGTCCACGGCCACCGGGCTGGCCAATGATGTCCAACGGGCGCTACGGGAGATTCGGAGCACTCATCGGCGTCGCCTGCGTGAGCAGCACCCACTGCCGCTTTCTGGTGAGGAGGTCCAAAAGCCGAAAACGACCTCTGACTCAGATTCTATTTCCATAGATTTACTCAACCAAAAATGCGGAAGTTCTGGCGTATCACGAGCTCAAGCTCCGCCAGATTGTCCACCAGTCGGGCTGGATGGAGTATGATCCGGCCGAGATATGGAGGAACACGCAGGAGTGTATAGAGGTGGCTTATCGGGGGGGTTATATCATCATCTTGCAACTATCTAATAGGGTCACTTTTTCAGACCGCCTACAAGAACCTGGTGATACTGGAAATCAATCCGCATGATATCATCGCCATGGGCATCGTAAATCAGCGCGGCACCTCGGTGCTGTGGAACAAGCAGACGGGTCAGCCGCTGCACAACGCCATCGGCTGGTCCGATTGCCGCAGCACCGCGCTCCTGAAGAGCTTGCTCCACAATGTCCGGCACAATGTGGACTACGTGCGGTACCGCAGTGGCCTGCCCCTGAGCAGCTGCTTCAGTGCTCTAAAGGTCCGCTGGCTGATGGATCACGTTCCTTCCGTAACCACTGCCATTGAGGAGAACAAGTGCCTATTTGGCACCCTGGACTCCTGGCTGCTGTGGAACCTCACCGGCGGCGTGGAGACGGGCGTGCACTCCACGGACCTTACCAACGCCCACTACACCTCCCTCATGAACCTGTCCACGCAGCAGTGGGACCCTAAGCTCTGCCAGTTCTTCCGACTGCCCATGAATATACTGCCACGCATACGTTCCAACTCCGAGATATTTGGCTACGTTCTAGATGGTCCCCTGCTGGGCATTCCCATAGCAGGCATGATGGGCGAGCAGCCGGCCAGTTTACTGGGCCAGCTCTGCGTAAAGGCGGGGCAGAATGTATGCACCCTGGACGACAGCTGCTTTGTGCTGCTTAACACGGCCAAGGAGAAATTGGAGTCGGCCAATGGACTGATCACGGGCATAGCGCACAAGCTGGGCGAGAAGGAGGCCACCAACTATACGCTCGAGGGAGCCATCTCCAATGCGGGATCTACGGTGACTTGGCTACGGGAAAAACTGCAAATAAACACTGAGATTAATTCCAACGACAACGTGGTGGAGTCCCTAAACACATTCATCGGCGAGAACTCCATGATCTCGTCCTCCTGCTCGTCATCCATGCTGAACGCCGAGTGTGGACTGGCGGCCAAGAGGTCGGAGATCACGTTCGTGCCGGCCTTTCATGGAATGTATGCCCCATACTGGCGTCACGATGCTAGGGGCATTATCTTGGGACTCACCAGCCAGACCACTGCGGAGAACATCACACAAGCGGCTTACGAAGCCACTGGGTTCCAGATCTTTGAGGTGCTACAGGCGTTCAAGCGCGATACCCCCAACTGGGACCGCTCCTCCATGCAGCCTGTGCTCACGTTCGGCGGCGATTACGCCGAAAACTCGCACCTTGTGCAGTTTATCGCGGACATAATTGGCTACATGCTGGAGCGGCCGCAGACTACTTCGCCTGCAGGTTTGGGCGTCATGATAGCCGCGGGCGTGACGATGAAAGTGGTGTCCCTGCAGTACGCCGTGAAAATGTACGCCCCGCCCACGGATGTCTTTTCGCCCACAACCACAAAGAATCGTAAGTTGAATTCCGTTTTTTAAAAAAGGATTGTTTCTTCCTTTATTGAATTATCCTAGTAAATAAACTATCCCTTTTTCAGGTCGAGAGCTGCTCTATAAGCGCTGGGACTATGCGGTTAAAAGATGCCTGCATTGGAACAACTACGAGACCTATGAAGCCGATGTCGAGCTGTTTGCTCAACGAGAACTTGATCCCAATTTACCCGTTCGGCGTTCTATACCCGGTAGTTTGTTTCTGACAACATCGTTCGCCCTAGTCCTGCTGGCCAACTTTCTGAAGAACAATCCCCTAAAATAGTGGCAGTCTAGTTTCGGAGCAGCGGCAGTTCTATCTAGTCAACTGAACACGTTCAACTGTGTGCATTAAAATTTATTGTTTAGTTTAGCATGTAATTTTATATTAGTTGCTTTGATATGTACATATAAAATCCTTTTAGTTTTTTTCCCCGAGTTGTAGATCAAAATAATTGTGATTCACCTATTTACACCACTATATACATGTTTTTATAAGCTCATTATGTTCCACTTAGTTAAACATTCAGTTTAAGCAGTGCTTATATCTTTTGAAACCTAAAGACAATTGTTAAAGCTGTTCAGAGACGAGCACAAAAACTCGATATCCTGCATGCGCGCCATTGACGGTTGATTTGAGTTAACCAGGAGAATGTGAAGGCAAACTGTTGAGATTGTGTTTTACAAGTGGAAAAAGCGGAGCACAAGTGGCCAGTACTCACCAGATGAGATCCATTTGCCAGCTAATTAGCTGGCAGGTCTCCTCCACGGAGGAACGCATTCATCACCTGCCCCGGGCTGCAGCTCACCGCATTGAATGGAGCTTAAGTTATTGCGCTTATTGTTGACACGCGAATCGTTGGAGGAGCAGCTGTGTCCGTGCATTCCAGCCTGCAGCCAATGTGCACTTGAACGCCCCTTCCCCGGAACTGGAGGAGGAGTACGATGGGGACCAGCGGAGGAGCACCCTTGGCTGTTGTCTCTGCTGCA